CCCCAAAACCCCAAAACCCCAAAACCCCAAAACCCCGGACAGTATTAATATAATTGATAATTAAATTAGAGAAATGGAGTACGAACCCACACTATCAAACCTTTATAGGTATCCATTAATTGGTATGTGCAGCGTCAATACTTTAGAAAGAGAAAGCAGCTCTCCAAACCCTTTGTATTTGAATCCCATGGTAGATAAAGACCTACTACATTTGGACCTGTAAGTCATCCATTTTCACAACTGGAGTAATCTTGGGGCATTGCTTAGCTGAAGTGTTTGTGAAAGTAATGTTCAAAATGTTGTAAATTAGATTCTACGTATGAATCCATCTGAAGTTAACTAAACCTTCCTTATGGACGTAAATCTAAGACAATAACTTTTAGAAATATTTCAGGAAAGAAATATATTTCAAAATTCTGACTCTACATGTTGAAAAATACCAACGAAATTTTTATTCATTTCTTCTATTCTATATTTTTGCTAGGTCCTCCGTCAATGAAAGTGCGAAGATGTCTCCAAAGGAAAAACAAGAAACTGACAGCTTAAAAATAGGTAAATGATCTGCTTTGATTGTTTTCAAATGCTCTCGGGTAATTTATTCGAATAGTTGATCCATATGCTAAGTTTCAGAAGAAGAGAACGCAGATCTCCAAAGCACCTCCGAAACTTGTAATCCTCGGTTATTACGACTAGATGGTTCCGGAAAGCACAGGAGATTTTGGCCTTTTCTCTAATAAGAGGGGGAGTGAGCACACTCACAAAGAGATTCGGAGTGCTGTCCTACAAAACACTGAGAGGTAACATTCATTTTTAAAGTATCAGCTCTATTGGAATCGGTTTCAAACTCAGGCTAGACAAGAACAGTGGTATCTTATTCTTCACACTCAGAAAGTATCATCAAGCTAGACACGTTTGAAGAGCGGAAAGAGGTTTATTTCCCAAACAAAGAATCTGCTGGAAAATAACCAAAATCCTATGAATCCTCACAATTTCTTTAACCCTTTTAGCCACAAATCTGATTCTTTCGTCGAAGAAAACTTGTCAGAATCTGATGAAGTGGAATCTCGTGCCAAAAAGGTGGACATAAATATTTAATTTCATAGCTTGTTGAAGAAGGAAGGATTACACAAAACAATATTTCATATTTTGGGAATAAAAACTTTGCACAGAAAGAATCTTTATCCAAGAAAATTCATGGAGATTCTGGATCAACCCAAAATCTTGAAACTGAGAAAAGGAAAAGTGAAGAAAATAGCATGTCAAAAGAGGGTAATATCTCCTGGTTATGTGTCCAGCATCCTTAGAGAAAGGGAATCTAAGGGAAGAAAGTAAACAGGATTCTCAAAATTATCTTAAGTCTCCTGCGGATGATCATCCATACCCAAATGAGAAGGTTCAGATCGACCACCAAGTTTTTGAAACATTTAGAAATTTTAATTCAAAGAAGGACAGTAGTGAAAAAATCCTTGAGAACTTACGAAAAGATTCTAACCATGACATCAGGTATAGTCCCTTGATTAGCTCTAGGTCTCCAAATTTCTCGAACAAAGTGCCTGTAATCAGTGACACTAAGAACATGAGGTAGCTTTCGGTTTATTTGTAGTGAAGATACACCTACCAAAGATAACGCTAACAGCAACTTCTCAATGAGCCAAGAAATGATCAATGACATTATCATGAAACAAATAGATAATGACATGAGCGTCATGTCTTATGTCCATGAGCAGAATCAGAGTCAGAAGCCTACCAGATCAACTCATTCTCTTAGCAGACAGGATAGGTGCTCGTCTGCAGTCTCCAGGCTTCACTCTAAACATCTTGTTGGACATGGGTTTAGTGAAATAATGTCAAAGATCTCAGAAGAAAATGAGAGAACCAAGAAGCTTTACAAAAAGAGGAAGAGAAATTTCCGTAAGAAGAGGCAACTTTCAAAGGAAACCCCCTTCGCTTCTAATAACTCTTCAATGAACGAATTTGTGTTTAAATAAGCGTATTGCTGATGATATTTCCCATATGATAATCGAAAATCTTCAGAAATATCAAGGCCATCGCAATGATGGGGCATCTTTTTCCATTAAAAAGGATACTACAAATGCTAGCCCTGAACTGAGGAAGAAATAAACTTAAAACTAAGCTGTTCGGAAGGGCAAAGCCGAATCTTGATAAATATTTCATTTCATTCAGACGGAAGAGTAATTTAATGAAATAATCTTTAGAAAGAAATATTGTTAGGGAGCTTTCTGCTCATCCACATAATTAACAATACTAGTTCAATCGATATCAAGATAGATACAGGTCCTGATAGTTTCCAGGGAAAACCGGCTGTTGCCTCACAAGGCTACAGAGATACTCCCTTGATAAATACCGTTCACAGGAAGTCTCTCGGAGATGATGAAAAACCTACTATCAAAATTAACGGAGATGTTATCTTCAACAAACCTGTGAATGAGGAAAGTTTCTCCAAGAGACTTTTTAATCACAATTCGTAAAATTTACAACTAATCTTTAGTAATCGGAAGATAGCCTCTGCAAAGAATCGAGATAACTTCAGGTTCAGTAAAAGGAAATAAGTCAATGTTTTCCCAATTCAGCGCTGATGGGGTGTATAAGGAGGTATATTCTTCAGGTCATAAACATTTAGAGTACCGAGAACTCTGTGAAAATTGCTAATATGGATAAAACAACAATATCTAAGAACAGTAAGAGATCAGAACTGCTTTCACTCGTCAGCAAGCTTGTTCATAAATACAAGTCATCTCTTCACAACAGAAAGGTATGAGGATTTGTTACCATTTTAGAATCATACAAGAAGCGAGTCTAAGACTAAGAAATTCTTTGGGATTTCTCCTGTTGTCTCTAATCCAAATATTTCTAATAATGAGACTATCACACAACATTCCCTTGCGAAGTGCTATGCTTCAACAGCTTCTGGGTTTAAGATTATGAAATTATCGCAAGAATTTTCAGAAACTAAGGCGAATCAAAACGCAGATATTTTAAAAGCACCTATATCAGGGACCAGCCATATCCAGACTAGAAGACTTTATCCAGGAGGAAAGCTTGAAATCATCAATCTTATGTCAGACATAGAGTTGGCTGGGGAGTTCTATAAGCCAATAGTGCTACAGGGTAAATAACAAAGTTATCAACAACAAATTCTCTGAAGGCTTTATTGTACTCCCTTTGATAACTCTGTAGAGGAAAGAGATTAAGAAAATCGAAAAACTTGCGAAGAACAATGTAGGTCTGGCTCAAAATAAAATCTAGGAAATCCTAGCTAAGGGTACAAGATTTATGAACATCAGGGATGCTCCATCAATGTCAGTCCTTAGTGAGAAATCTAAGGAAAATGAGACATCCAAACATGAAGAACTTGATTTAAGCTACCTTACCTCACAAATGGGAGGCTATTCATGTCCGGATAGCTCTGATTATATAGATAACCTACGGTTTGACTTAAAACCGCCTGAGATTTACATCAGGCGGAGTGATGTAGACGCCACAAAGCATATAGCACATTTGAATAAGAACAATGTCACCTTATTTCCATTCTTTGGAGGCTCATGTTTGAAATTCTAGAAGAATTTATTCCAACATCTGGACAGTATTAAGGGGTTTTGGGGTTTTGGGGTTTTGGGGTTTTGGGGTTTTGGGGTTTTGGGG